CCTCCCAGAGTGCTAGGATTACAGGTGTAAGCCACCACCTGCCAGTTGTTTTCATTTGAGAGTCTTACGCTGATCCTCACGCCATCATCCAGCCCCCTCACAGAGCACCGCTTTCTGCTTTCTGCTTTTTCACCCTCTGGGTTCTTAGCAAAGTCACCTCTGCACTCCCCGTGCCCCTGCGAGCATCGTTCGGGACGAGCTCTTCACCTGCGCCCCGCCCCGTTTGACAGCCGGCTCCAGCACTTCTCCTCCCCCCGCTTCTCAACAGTCTGCCACTCTGTTCGCTTTTCAGCTTTGACTTTTCCCACCTATAATTTTCTCTTGTAAGACAATTGCTTGACTACTTGTGGCATCTTGTTTTATGTGAACTCCCCCAGGTTTGAGTGAGCTATTCAGGTCTGGCTTTTCTATCTGCTACCCCTTCTCAGCGGGAGCCAACATGTGTCGAGCCCTCCCTATGAACCTGCGCATACAATCTCATTCATGCCTTCCCTGCCAAGCTGTGCATCATTGCCTCACCTGCCAGACGGAGACGGGGCTCAGAGAGGCTGGGTGACCTGCCCAGGATTCCACCCTTGTGCTCTCTCCACTGGGCCTGCTCCTCTCCTGGAGCTCAGGGGCCACTTCTGACCCACTTTGAATGCTGCCCTACAGGCCCTCATTACTGCAGCCTTCCATGACATCTGCAGCGATCACAGCCTGGACTGTCACCGGGTACCCGTCCATCTCAGGGCAAATAGAGCGCGCCACGTTGCTTCTTTGGGCCCTGACAACGTCCCCCCTCCCAACCCCAATTCTGCTCCGGAATCCAGTTGGAAATTGGCTCTTCCCGCTTGTGAAATCCCCCACAGATTTGTTCTGGTTAATTTCATAAATCTTTCTTCCGACTGTCAGTCAGAGTGACCAACGCTCGCGGAAAACTTCCTGTGCGGAGGGATCCAAGCATGGGGAGGCGAAACAGCTGATAAACACATTTGCAGAGCAGCAAGATGACAAGTGCAAATTCAAATAGCACAAGCTGAGAACCTAAGTGCCTGAGGGAGCATCCAGGAAAAAGAAACGAATGAGAGGGTTCGTTAGTGCGGGAGACTTCCCTGGAAGCAAGGGCTGGGCCTGGGGGTGACAGCAGGGCGGGGTCTGCGGGACAGAAGAGGATGGCATCTGCAAAGGCACGATGTGAGGTCACCGTGACAGTCCAGCAGCCTTTTCAGTTCTCAGCCTCCGCGACAACTCTGAAGGATGTGAGTCAGCCTGAAGCTGGCCCTCCTTCCCGGGCCCTGTCCCTGTGGCCTTGGCGACCCTGCGCTGGCCTGGTTCTCCTGTCCCTCTGCCCTTGGAGGGCTCTCTGCTCCCGGTCTACTCTGTCTCCCTCACTCTTGCTACCTTGACTGTCACTTCTCAAGGCGGGATCTCCCTCCCAAGCCCTCCTGTGTTTCTGACAACCTGTGGCCATTTCCGCTAGAATGACAGGCCTTCAGCCCGTCTCCGTTCATCCCAGCCAGGCTCATGTCATGCCCCGGTCCTGAGTGGTTTGCCCACCTAGCCCATTCTTTCTGTTCATGACGCCACCATGAGTTTTCACTGTCCCAGATTCAACCTGGCACCTCTCACTGCTCCGCCTCCCTCTCCCCAATCTCCAGTTGGTCTCCCTCGCGCCCCTCACGTCCTTTGCTGTGTCTCGAGCCCACGCTCCTTGCTGACTGCTGACACTGCCCTGGGTAGCTCCTACCTGGGTTTGCCTCAGCCCCAAGCCCCCTTCCATGCTCTGCTGGGGTGGAGACTCTGCAAATACATTTCTCCTGTGCCAACAGGAGTTCTAGAGAGAGTGGAAGGCTGGAACTGGGAGGAGGCAGTTGTTCCTTCCCTTTGCTTCTCCTTCATCTTGGCATTACCCTAGAAGTGACCCCAGCAGCAGGAACTGCTTCCTGGCTTTGGTTTTTTGCACTCCCAGACCAGCCTTATTATGGCTCCTCAGAAGTACGAGCCGCGCGGGCAGTGCCCCCTTCTCAGAGGTCTGCACCTCAGCTCCCAGGGCCCCTGCTCCAAGCTTCCAGGCTCTGCTAACCCCACCCTCCTCCCTCTGCTCGCCAAGCCCTGGAGGCAACGCTCCTTCCTGCGGTTACTGCCCCTGATGCCTTAGTGTCCCCTTTTGTCTCTCCAGTCGTCCAATACCTGCTTAATTAACATCCCACGCAAAATTCGCACCGTTGAGATACCCACTTTCTGTTTTTTGCCTGGACCCTGATTTTTGTAGTCCTTGGTACCAGAAGCGGTCTCAAAATACAGGCCCTCCAGGACGGTTCGGAACTGGTTTGGTCTTGTCTTGCCATGAACACAGGGCTGAGCTCCTTCCAGTGGGAAACGAATCCTAGTGGTCACTGGCACGTGGTGGCGTCACATGCAGGCGACTGAATTCATCAGGTGACTGCCAGCACCAGTAGGGCGGCGCCCCTTCCTCAGAGGTCTGGATATCTCAGCCCTCTGGGGCTCTTTTTCAAGCTTCTGACACCCCCAACCTCTGTCCACCACTCTGCGTGGCCTCAGCGCTGCCTTCTTGCGTTTTCACGTCTCCAGCACCTGATGGACCAATTCCATGTATTAAAATTCCTCTGTTGAAATGACGAATGCATGTTCTGTTTTCGCGACTGGGCCTTGACGAAAATACTTCCCAGGAGGCTTTCTCTCTTCCTTTTCTCCCTGCTCTAACCCGCCCTGAGCTTGACATCAGCAGACGGACCTTCACGTTAATAAAACAGTGCTTTCATCCTGTCAAACCCTCACACAAAACCCGCCGAGGGTTCTCCCGCCGCCGACATCTCTTCCCAGTCAGCCCTAACCCACCTCCCGACTCACTCTCCAGCAAGCCCCCGTACAAAATTTGGGCGCTATATACTCCTGTTTGCTCAGTCCCTAAAAATTCCTCAGGGCCACCTCCTTGCAGCTCCCCGCAGTGCCAGTACAAATCCTGCCCATTCTCTGCCAGGCACAGCTCAAAGAGTGTCCTTCCTGCACAGCCTCTGAAGGTCATCCCTCCCCGCTTCGTCTTCGCCTGGGTGGCTCACATGGACCATTGCTGGTACTGTGAGATTTGATAGCAAAGCCACCCTCCAGCGAGGCACTATCGTCATCCCCACGTATATCGGGAGGCCGTATATCGTAGCACGCAAGG